TACAGAGAAATATAACTTGGTGGTTCTTGGCAAACAATAGCAAGGATGCTAGTATTACTGTGCATCACCACTGACTATGCGATACGCATAAGAAAAACTCCAAGTATCTTAATAACTTGAGCTATGAACAGGTTGTTTTAATTGTTTTCACTGTAAAAGATACTTATTGGTTAATAGTGGAGGTCATATTGGTGTTTGTTCCTCAAACAATTACACAAAGAGATATGTTATTAATTTTCTTTTTAATGTCTGTCTATAATTAGTCTGTCATTTCTCTGTATCATCCTCTCATTTCATTCACAGGATTCTCTGTGTGTCACCACAGAATGACAATTTTAATATGAGTGCAACGTCCAATCAGAATGTCAACATCCACAAAGAATTTCAAATATCAACCACCAGACCAAAGCACAGTTTTCATTTTCACCTTGGTGTCACCATTCACAGAATATCTTCCTGTCCTTACTTTTGAAAAGCTCAGCATTTATATCTTTTAGCAAAAATTCTCTGCATTCGAAAACCCTACAGTAGTATACTGCCCCTCTACTGCATGCTAGAGAAAAGAAGTTTGGCATTGATAGAAAAAACAGAAACAAGCCTCCACCCTAGAAGTTTGTTTGTTTTGATTTTTTTTTTTAAGTTGAAGGCAGTAAAAAACAACAAAAAACAAAAACAAACAAGAACCTGCAATCCTGCAAAAAAAGAAGAAAAAAGCCCCAAAACAATAACACAAGGATCCAACACGGCTTAATAGGTTACACTGTCAAAGCCTAAGAGAGTCTGTATGTGAGTGTGTCCGATGGGGGCACTGGCCCCAGACAAAGTGCTCTGCCAGCTTTCTGCCCACTGCTCTTTTCATTGCTGATGGATGGGCCTTGTTCAGCACCATCTGGCTAAGGGATACCTCACATTAATCATTGTAAACACACACACACACACACACACACACACACACACACACACACACACACACACGACACAAGAAGGTATTTTAAACATAAATACAACAGAACAGTGCAATTGTCTATAAGTAATGTATACTAACTGTTTGAAAGTGGAGCGCTCCAATCACTCACTATGACTTATATATATTCATACATTTATATTTTTTAAACTAGGTGATTATTTATATTTATATTAACATAATTTTCTCTAGAGGCAGATATCGGGGGGGGGGGGGGGGGGGGTGTGTTTAACACCATTTACCGTGCACAGACTGCAATAGTTTAACTTGTAATGTCAAAGTGAAAACAAAAAGAAAAAGACAGAAAACACGTATGCTTTCTAAAAACCTTTTATGGTTTTTATTTTAGCGAGCCACTTACTCAGTTTGTCATTCAGAATTATTGAAGATAGATTAAGAAACGAGCTCTGTACAAAAACAACAATTAGTTCATTTAAAAACATTGTTTCATCGGGTTGGTACCCTGAAGCTACAATAAAGCCTCGACTAACTCACAACCCTCTCCCCAACTCAGTCTTTATTAATGACCTTTTCATCACAACAGGCAGATGCAAAAAAACAATAATGGCTTCAGAAACGACTATTTCTCCCCTCTCTCTAAATCTAAACGCTGACTCGCTCGTTATCGCTCCCTCAGCCTCGCGCACAAACACGCACAGAGACGCACAGACATAGGATGTGTTAGTAAACACATGATATCCTTAAATAAACCATAAGCTGAGCTAGCAGACGCCCAAGGGAATCATGGAAAATGAGGGACATTATCAGCCTTCATTTATTTTTGTCTAAGGGCTATATGGGCTTAATACACGCTGATTTGCTTCAACATTTACACAGTATACGAACACGGGCAAGGACAGGAAAACCTCTGCCTGCTGTGGGAGAATGCATGCTTGACATTACATTTGCTATCATTAAATCACATCTCACGGCCATCCAGACATTTAATCTAAAGGGATCTATTCACACATCTCCACAATCTTAGAAAAGGAACAAGACCAACGGTAACCTTTATATACCATGAGCTGATTTGTAGAGTGTTAAAAACACTCTACAAGCTGGAATATTTTTTGTCAATCTAAAGGAAAACCTTCACCTTTACTGTTAAGGGAATAAGACGTTTGCGGTGCAGTGAAAACAAGCTTAAAGTGCAGCCTTTTACATATTTCCCCCATCAAAACCATTTTTAACGTACCTGAGAAAATTTTGAGTACAATTATTTTTTATTTATATTTGGCTAAAGTACGTGTGAGCATTCATTTAATCTTAATTTCTCTTTTCCAAAAATGATTATACTTATTCAGGTACACTGTACATGTATTCAAACTGTAATGAATTTAAATGATGATTACTGTAATAATATCTCCATATATCCTTCCCTGTATGGTTATATATTGTCAATACAAGCAATGCTCTAAATATCATTACTATCACTTTAACGTTAATAATAAATAATCAGGCCCAATCATATCTTAATGACCTTGTAGTACCATATCACCCCATTAGAGCACTTCGCTCTCACACTGCAGGCTTACTTGTTGTTCCTTGTTAGAGTATTTAAAGGTAGAATTGGAGACAAGCCTTCAGTTTTCAGGCCCCTCTTCTGTGGAACCAGCTTCCAATTTGGATTCAGGAGACAGACACTAGCTCTACTTTTAAGATTAGGCTTCAAACTTTCCTTTTTGCTAAAGCATATAGTTAGATCTGGATCAGGTGACCCTGAATCCTCCCTTAGTTATGCTGCAATAGGCATAGGCTGCTTGGGGATTCCCATGATGCATTGAGTATTTCTTCTTCAGTCACCTTTCTCACTCACTATGAGTTAATAGACCTCTCTGCATTGAATCAACCGGTCGCAGCAGATGGCCCCGCCCCTCCCTGAGCCTGGTTCTGCCAGAGGTTTCTTCCTGTTAAAAGGGAGTTTTTCCTTCCCACTGTCTCAAAGTGCTTGCTCATAGGGGGTCATATGATTGTTGGGGTTCTCTGTATGTATCATTGTAGGGTCTACCTTACAATAAAAAGCGCCTTGAGGCGACTGTTGTTGTGATTTGGCGCTATATAAATAAAATTGAATTGAACCTTCAGGTCAGGCTATTCATCTTTGAAGGAGACGTCATAGGTCAAATGTGGCATGACATTTTAAATACTTATACAGTACCTTCTGTACGTTGACAATACGCAGCACACTTGTAAAAATCATAGTTTTAAGTTTTAAGGCTTTTTGCCAATTTTTGACCAATAAATCGTTAAGTTGAACTTTAAGATTTCCGTGGATGTATAAATGTGTACAAATAGACTACACATGATCCCACTCTAGATCACTACAAAGTGCTACAAATGTGCTCTACAGTATAAACAAACACAATGTAATGTGCAAAATAAAAATAAAAAATATGTAAAATTTACTGTAATTCATTCTTTCATAAATAAGCATCCATGTATACTTTGAATTTTCATAAAAGATGACAGCATGTGGAGCTGAAAAGAAAATAGCCATAAGCTTTACGATATGAGTTTTATTTCAAAGGCAATTTCAGAAACAGATATTCTTTATGTGTAGCGTCCTGTTATTAAATTTCCTGTTATTAAATTCAAAGATTTATCCCAAAGTGGACCAGGGTTTAATGAGGCTTTCTGCAGTAGTAAGAATTTAACTTCTTCAATAAAGCTAAACTTTATCAGCATGTTCAACAAACAGAAGGAAAACATGAAAATGAAAAAAGTAAAAAGATATTTACAAGATGCCGCAGCTTACCACGCCAAGTTCTGAGTGGCATACTGTCACACATCTGGTTTCTCAATCACCGTGAGAATCATACTTAAAGATAGAGCATGCTTATGAACCATGTCTGATTGAGATAAAAACACGTTTATAAATTTTAATGGCATTCTCTTCTTCTCCTTATTCACCCTCTCTGCTTTTGCTAAAAATTCTCTTTTCTACTAATTTTTCTGAATGTCTGTCTGAGGTTGTGTGCATCTGCAAAGGTGTGTGTCTACACCAGTAAAAACTCTCCCAAATCTTTAAATTTACTGCTTAACACATAAACAAAATACTTTGTTACAAATAAAAAGCTAAGCTAAAGTGTTGCTACATAGCTGGATATAACTGATCTCGTTCATGGGAGATGGTTATTAGAGTTGGGTTTGACCCTTTCAGAACATGGCTTTATATATATATATATATATATATATATATATATATATAAATATGAATGCAACGCATAAAAGTTATCATCCCAAAGGTTTCATCATCATAAACGTGCCTGAATAGTGTCATTTTTGGTCTGCTGTGAAATGTCAATCTGATAACATTTGATTTTCTTTTCCGTGCTAACAGCACAAAGCCAAGGTCACATGACACAGAGCAGTAAGTGTAGTAAGAGTTTCTGTGATGTTGTGTGAACAGAGTGACAACTATTGGCTGTACGGCTGTGGCTCAGACAACAAACAACAGTTTTAAGAGTGAAAAAAAGCCTCAACTCTTGCCGACACTCATCTAGTAGCACATTGTGAATTTGTCCCCCAGCAATAGCCCGTCAACAATGACTTCTAGTCGAATGTCCTCAAGTATCCAAGAGAATTTTATAACACGTAAGGCTTTTTCTTCTTATAAGTGCAGTTCATGACTGTTTGATGGCACTTCGTATGAACCCAGATAGAGATAAATACAGGAGGATCCACACATGGACAGAGATGATTAGCTTTATATCAGACTTCACTCTCTCAAACACGCTCGCTCTCACAATGCAATCAGGAACAAACACTTGAGCCGTCCTCATTCACTAGATTTCTAACAAGAGCCATAGATCTTGGAGAGACAAAAAATTCATCACAGCCTTGAATACAAGGCAGCGATGGTGACCTACAACAACTAACCTTGTGGTCTAGAGACGAATGACACTGAAAGCTCAAAGCTCGGCTCGTTCAGATACATTAAATGAGCAAATAAAGCAATATAGAGTGTTGAAAAAGAAATGCTGCAATTCACGCTAATGAGGAAAGTTATTGAGGGACAAACAGTGAAAGATCTTACCTTATGGTCATAAGGGTTGTAAGAGTGGAAGACCTGCGACAGCTCTTTAGTTCTTTGCTTCTTCTGCAGACAGAAAAAAAAAAAGAAATGTTTAAGAATCACTTACATAATTAACACAAAACAAATAACCTCGCTAATAAATGACGTTATGTTTTTTAATGACAATCTGGATGGAGACTTAAAGAGGTGCAGTATCGAGTTTGAAGCTGGATGAGGGGGTGATCATATTTTTGGAAGTGCAAACCCACGGGAAGATTTGTGACCTTGGATGGTTTCAGTTTTTGATCTTAAACATTGTTACATACGTCTGTCACCTAATTCAGGTACAATTATTAATAAACATCTAAAAGTGACTCTTTTCAAGATCAACCGATCAACAACAGCAGAGGCTAACCACTCATCGTGACTGTGGCTAGCTTTCCTGAAACAGTGGCAGTAACACATTCAAACCTTTAGTGTTAATTAACCACTTTGATTTAAATGTAGCTCCATCGTAGTTAAAAAGACATGATTACTCTCTTACTACAAGACTAACAATAGAACTTTAAAATGACAACTCCGTTCAGGTTTATTTATATAGCGCCAAAACACAAGAACTGTTGCCTCAAGGTGCTTTATATTGTAAGGTAAAAAACCTACAAAAATACAGAACTAGTCCGACTCAACAATGGAAACAAAAGATTTCTGATTCACAGCCTGAATTTTCTCGTCCTTCTTTATTTGCTTTGTTTGTAAAACATTTCTTTGGACGTGTGATACATCTTATTTGCATTTCCTTGTCCTCTGTATTTCTGATAATGATCATAGAGATATTATACAGATATGGACATACATTACAGCTCCACTGCTATTAACTGGATTACTTCAAATGGATGGAAAAAAGCCAAGGCTTATAAGTATGCCCACAATGAATTCATAATAATAATGAACGGACAGTTGGAATGTATTTATCTGTACACCATCTGTGGCAGAAAATGCTTCACTTCATTTCTAGTTAAAGTCTGGCCTTCGTGTACTTACTGTATAATGAGATGCACAAGCGTGAGAGGCGACGGTTTGATCTGTGGCAGTTGTTAATGCAATGAGTTACATGAAGCTGATGCAGCTACAGAAAGTGCTAATTAGCTCACTGATTAGGCCATGTATGGCTAAAGGGAAAGGGCATATAAATATGGTACTGTACCTAAAGGGAGTATGCATTCATAGCTATTCTCCCTCCTGCTCTCCCCCCCTCGTGTCTCTGTCTTTTTGAGTGTTAGAATGTGCAGGGTTAAGTTGAATGTCCTTAAGCATGAGCCGTACATGCTGAACAGAAAACCTGTTGTTCTGCTATTGCACAGCTGGACAAACTGGCTAATTCCAGACTAGCAAAGACAGCTTGATCTTTCAACGTAGAGGAAAAATGTCTGCTGACTAACCAAGCATAACATTCAACTAACCATATTTACAACATGGTGTAGTCAAGTTTCAGAAGCATGCCAGCCTCTGCTAAAGTCCACAGATAAGAGAAAAATTAGGCCAAATTAAGAAAATAATAATAATAATACAATAAAAGATGTGGTGTATGAAGAGAAATGTTGTGTTTTGGCCAGTTTGGACCTTTTCTGTTGTTCTCTGCTCCTCTCATAGCTTGCAGCTCTATTCTCCATTCCTCCCATCTATTCGCTTTCTTCTGTTTCCATATGTTACCCATCTTTTACTCATTGTCTGTTCACTCAAGCCTCTTCTGATCCATACAATCCTGTAATCATTGGCCCCGTCCCACTGCCATCCTCACATTCTTGTTTTCATCTGATTCCCTCTCTATTCCTCTGCCAAAGGGTTCTTTGGAATCCACAAATCCTCTTTTCTCTCATTTTCTTTGCCTTTCCACAGACCACTCAATGCCCCTCCTCCTCCTGTTCTGTTTTTCCAGAGGGGGAAAACTCATTCTAATCATTCATTCTTCGCTCTCTTGCCCACTCTCCCCCACGTAAGTATGTCTCTTGATAATTTCTTGCACTCTCTCCTTTTGCCTTGAGCACCTCGGCTCTGAGCAGCGATCTCATCATTGTTCCTCAACACCTTTCTCCCCCTTCTTATCATCCCTTCATAACTTTTACCATCACTCTGTATTCATTGATGCTCCATGGTGTGCTTGTGTGAGAGAGTGCAACTAAGACAGCTTTAACTCCAGGTAAGGATTTATCAAGCCCCAATGAATACTCAGCAGAATTTGGTTCTTTTCAGGAGCAGCACACATACACACAACGCACCAACACAACAAACAACAACAACGTGCCAACTCGAAGGCACATACTGACTAACACAAAAAACAAAAGCTGTACACTCATATGGACAACGGTATGAATACAAGGGATTCAAAGATCAACATAAAAACAGACAAACAGAAGACAAAAAGAGATAATGTGAGCCTAAAAAAAGCTGTTGAAAGATGAAAACTCATGAAAAAAAGAGATACATTCCCAGTGTCGCACCAGATCGGAAAGAGGTGGAAACCTCAGCTCATTATTTGAAATCCTACAGCTTTGTAATATTCTCAAGTCAACTTACCTGTTCCTAACCTTTAAGATAGGAGCTACAAAATTCCTTTAAACCTCCCGACTATTGTGGAAAGCTGCTAAAGAAAGCTGAATGCTCTCATTATCCCACAACTGCTCTGTCTGTGGGTCCTAGAATAAGAACTACACTCTTAGCTATAGCAGTAAAAGTCTAATCATTTGTATTAGTTTATAGTCTAGAGGTAAAGATGTGTAGACTAAAACTCAAATAGACCGCAGATGATCTGTAAACACATAATATCATTTACATCAGCGGTCCCCAACCCCGGACTGGTCAGCGAGTCGTTTGGTACTGGGCCGCGAGAGTTGAGGCTCGGGTGTGAAATTTATGGTTTTCTAAGTTTTTATCGTTAACTCTGTTTCCCTGTGTTGTAGTTGTGTGTCTTATTTTGAAAGAAATATTTACGCTTTACCATAGTGACCAGAGAGAATAAGGGACAGAGAGGAGGATGTTACTCTCAGTGTTGTTGGTGCATATCAGAAGGACGCTGCTAATAAAGTCACACAATTACACACTGAATTCGCGTTTATTATTATATTTAAAAAAAAAAAAAAAAAAAAATCATAATTTTTGTCTTGGTCGTTTCATTTCATTTTGTTGTATTTATCCGCAACACGAAAATATAGTCTGACATTAAACCGGTCTGTGACAAACTGCTCTGGAGTTTGTTTGTGAACCGGACCTAGACCACTTCCTCCGGTGCAGATATATCGGTCTGCACCCGAGTGCAATTATCATGTTCATATTTTTACAAGCAAACCACACCAAAGGGAAACGAACCAGAGTCTGATTTAAACAAACCAAACATCACACTTTAGTTTGTTTAAATGTGACATCTGTCCAAATAGTCATTCTGGCCTCACCTAAAAATGATCCCATGACATCTTTAATGTTATCAAGTTTTCCAAACGCTCTGCATTACATGTATGACTTTTCCCTCTGTACACAGATATGTGTGTGTGCATCTGCGTGTGTTTGGGTGCATGTTCGAAGTTAATTTTGCATGCTGTCGAGGTTGTGTTAGTGACAACCCGGCAATGCAAAGCCAATCCGTGAGCGTGTGGACCTGTCAGCAGGGTGATGATGAACAATGGTTGTTATCATGACATCCATCTGTTGTTGTCCCCAGAGACGGATGCTTCATAAAACCAGAAGTGACATTACATGAATGTAGCCAAATTCCAACGCAGGAGCAGTGGCGACACAAGTAAACAATATAAAAGCCATCATATAAAAAATACAATTATCTTATCTAATAAACAAGTAGTAGCACAAAGCTCATAAAGAGTTGATCTGATCAAGCTCTGATTTTGTGATCATTAACGACACCATCTGAAAAGATTCAATATTAAGACCAGGAAACAACTGCTAGTTTCACCGACTTAAAACATAAAACTAATAACGGGATTCTAAATGGTTTATTGATGATTGAGTGACTGATTTTATATGTATGTTTTTGTGTGTAAGTTACCAGCTCTGTACATGACAAGCAGAAGCTGTTTTTAATGAGTATTTTTGTGTATATACTGCAATTCAGTGAGGCCCTGCGCATAGTTTGTCAATTCACAAAAAAATATCGATTGCATGACTCTGTGACGCAAGGCAGTAGAATTCTGTGTAATTGCACATGTGTGTCTATGAAACCCATACTGGTATTATTCCAGCATGCCAAAATGATTGTGTGTTGTGGGGCAAGGTAACAATGATCTTGCCAATACTTAAATTGCTTCTGGTCACCAATATGCGCCCACTTGTCTTTCCCTAATGGCAAACAGATGTTAATGATATAGAGCTCGAGCGTCATTATATCTATAGTCAAAGAACCTGAGGCATCAACTGCAGAGTTGTGCCTGTGAAGGATTTACACCTCCTAAAGCATCACAGAGTGGTCACAGTGGGGTTTATGACCTTCCTCTCTCACAGAGGTCACTAAACTAACATTTTCTTACCCACTATCTCAGTTAAGCAACGCGTATAAAAAAATATTACTCTCTTTTTTTCATCATTCATCCATCCTCTTCCGCTCAGTCAAATCAGTGTTGTGCGAGGGCTGGAGTCTATCCAAGCTGTCATAAGGCAAAAGGCGGGGTCACCTGACTATCACAGGGCTAACACATAGATATTCACACCTACACCCAGTTTACAATTGCCAGTTAAACATTTCAAAGCCAATGTATGGCTTTGAAAAAGCCACTCAGAAATGCACCGGCCAGTGGACCTGAGCCCAGGACTTTTGCTGGAGGCTTTCCACACCACTGTCCCACAGATATATAATGCAAACTGCTAAAATGTAGCAAAGTTTATTTAGCAGCATGAGTCTTCATGAGTATCTGCTTATAAGAGAAATTGTGGATCATTATCTCCTACAAAGCACTTTCAGTTCATCAACATTTCTGGCATGAAAAGGCCCCCTGAGTCATTTGACCAGGGTTAAAGCCACGCCCCTGACTTAGCCAGATCCAAAGACTTTGGATCACCCAACGTCTCCTCCGAGTACTAGA